CCCCATGCTGTCAACGTGGATATTTCACTACAGGACATCTCTTCCGTTCACATTAACTCAGAATTTAATCTTTTTCAGGGTCAGCCTTAGAGATTGACAAGTAAAACTAATAACTATGTTTTTAGGCTCCAGTGGATGTGGTTGGCACTAAGATAAATGCTGTTTTCCTGTTTATCCCCAAACTATAAGTAAGGTCATTTCATAAGAAGTCAGTGACCCCCTGACACAGTGCTTCACCTTCTCACACTGTTAACCAGCCAGTGTTGGGTTAGGATGATCTGGAGCCAATTGAGCTGTAGCTGCTTTGCTTTATGAATTCTTTATTTATTTCATTACTGATTTCAAAGGGATGAAGAGAGAGAGAGAAACATCAATGATGAGAGAGTCATTGATCAGCTGCCTCCTGCACGCCCCCTGTTGGAGATCGAGCCCACAACCCGGGCATGTGCCCTGACCAGGAATGAAACCCTTGACCACCTGGTTCATAGGTCAACGCTCAACCACTGAGCCATGCCAGCCGGATACTTCATGACTTCTTAAGATCAGGCCCCCACATTGGATGCTAACTCTCAGCATGAAATGCTTGAGCTGCATCTGCCCTCATAGATCGTATTGTGAGGTCATTTCTGTTACCAGCCTCTGACTTTTAAAGATCTTACAACAATTGCATAGAGGTCAGTTTTTAACTGGATCGGTGGGAGAGTTGGACCTGATGTTTGGTGACATCATGATGTTTACACTGAGGTAACATTTAACCCTGAGTCTGTGTGACTGTTCAGGAAGTGGCACAGGATCTAAATCGTCATTTCCAGTTGAAAAACGCTTCCCCTCCACTTCCTGAGCTACCCCAGCCCCTCTCCCCTGCCCTAAATACGTCAGTGTTCCTGCTTAGTTGTACTATGTGCCTGTGATAAAGTAACCAATGGTCTTTTTAAAAATTGCATCATTGGGTAAGATGATGGTTGGGACTTGATCTGTTTGACTGTTAGCTTTACTTTTGTTCTCCGAGTCAGTGCTCTCATAGTTCTGTCATTTGGGGGAGGTTTGGATAGAAATAAATAGAATGCAGACTTCCCTGTCTTCTGGGGATCCCCTGGCATTGCAGTCTTTCTCGTTACCCTTTCTGCTGTCCCAGCGAGGCCTGGGTTCAGACTCCTCCAATAACCAGTGTTCACGTCGGAACCACTGAAGTGCGCTGGCAGGAGAGTCACGAGTCAGACAGCTTCAGGGTTTGTCATGCGCTTGGGACTCCTAGAGGAGCTTCCTAGAGATGCAGGTTCCTAGGTCTACGCCCAAGGGTAGCATCGCAGAGTCTGCTTCCTTAGCAAACATCGCAGCAATTTTCGGACAAGTGGTAGAACAGAACACACTGTGAAAAGTATTCCAGGGTCTGAACTCGCTGAGAACAAAGGTACCTAAATGTCCTTCAGTCTTGAGCACAAAGCAGCCATCGTGTGGGTGTCTTTGATGATACTTAAAGTATTGAATTACAGCGGGCATGCTTTCTTAAGAACACGCCTACCGCTTATTTTGATGCCGTGATGTTAAGTTGTCGACCGCAGTGGGAATGGTTCTCATGTAAGTCTGTGAATATAAGCAGACCGAGTGTAAGGACCTGATTTTGCTCTGTCCTGTTTAGATTTGTGTCCTCTGATATCCTAGTGGCCTTTGTGACCTGCTGACCTCTTTCCCTTTCCCTTTTGTTCCACGTAGAGAAAAGCAGTGAAGAAACTACCTCACTGGGAATGTCATCGTTACCAGCTTCAGATGGATGCAACCGTCCGGCCCGTCCTCCGGGACAGAGTCCTGAGATCGGCAGTCCCGCGGGTCTTGCTCACTCTGTCTCTGCTTCAGTCTGCCCTATGGAGCCCGGCGACCCTGAAGCCGTGAAGGCTTCCACTGCGTTCCGGACCACCTCCGAACGGAAAGAGCATCTTCCTCTCCAGGATCCCCCCAACTGCGCTTCTCCAGCAGCCAGCGCTCCTGCTGACCATGGTCGCACTATGCCTTCGCAGAACTCACCCCAGGAGGCCACTGTCACAGATGATCTGGAGACACCAGCTGCTGGGAGAAGCACCCAGGGCCTCGATGCTCATCTCCTCAGTAGACAGGAAGTGTCTGTCACCACGCCTGGGATGCAGGAACCACAGACGTCTCTAAGGGAGAGGGGTTGGCATCCAGAACATCCGAATCTGAGTCAGAGTGGCCTGCACGAGGAACCGGGGAATGGGCAGCAGGAGGCTGTACAGCAGGATGTGCCACGTGACCAAGAGCATCCCCGTGACAGGGAGGGCCTTGAACTTCTCAGAGAAAGGCCACAGAATCCACCAGAAAGTGCTGGTGTGGAGGCTGCGATAAGAGGAGATGGGGTGCAGCAGAATGTGGGCCCTCCAGGTGCACAGAACAGTCCTCCCTCGGGGGGCTTTGCCTGCTCAAACTCAAACTCAGAAACACTGATGGAGGTCGACATGGCTGAGCAGCCCCTCCCTGCTGAGCCTGGTTTGGCAGGCAGGCAGCTTGCCAGCATCCAGGACACGGGCACATCTGACCTCCCCTTAGACAATCCCCTGATGGAAGTAGAAACATCAAAATGCAGCCCCACATCTGAAATTCTTAGTAGTTCGATGTCCACTCAGAATTTACAGCTCCGGGAAAGTAGTGTGGAAATACCCGGAACAGATAGAGATCGTGGGGCTCGCTCCTCCTCTGTAGGTCTCTGTGGCAGGTGTCAGCCCTCCGTGGACTCAACGGAGGGGTCTCGCTCGTCGATCACAGCAGCCCTGAAGGAACTTCAAGGCCTTTTGGTCACTAGTAGCAAACCAGCTTCAGAAAATGCATCTGAAGAAGCCCCCTGTCAGTCAGAAACAGAAACTGAGGGCCAGGCAGGCTTTGGGGTCCTTTCTGAGAGGTGGATCCAGAGTGAGCAGCATTCCCAAGTCTCCTTTCAACAGACCACATCTGTGTCGGTGAAGACAGACAGACAAGCAGGTGCTTCAGCTGGCATGGGCGCGGGAGGCAGAGAAAATACCAACTTCAGGGGTCTAGCTGGCGGCCTGGTAACTGGTGGGGAAGGTGTCCCCAAGTCTAGGGAACCGGTAAATGAGAGCAGTCCCACCAGTCTGGCCTCAGCTGAGACATCCGGTCAGCTGCACTGCGCCATAGGTGTGGACGTCTCACCCAAACACTCAGCCGGCGAGGGCGATGCTCCCAGTCCGAACTCGGAGCAACCTAAGTCCTTGTTATCAGGTTCCATATCAGTTCAAGATCTGGGTCGAGCCGCACAGAACCCAGGGACAGATGGGCCCGATACTACAGGAAACATCTGTCCTGAGGCCCCAGGGCCAGCTGTTGAATTTGAGCCACGTACCAGCTGTCCGCCACCAAGTCCCTTGGTTCTTCCTCCGTCACTTTTCCCCACTGCAGATGTCGACCGGCTTCTCCGCGCCGGCTTTACTTTGCAGGAAGCTCTAGGGGCTCTGCAGCAGGTTGGTGGGAATGCAGACCTCGCCCTTCTTATCCTGCTAGCAAAGAACATTGTAGTTCCTACGTAACCGGAAAGGGGCTGGACCGCGCTCATTCCCTTAAAGCGAAGCTCTATACACACACTCACCACTCACACCACACATACACGTACCCCACACACATACACACACCATTCACACACCACATACACACACCACACATACCACACACACCACACATACACCACTCACACACCACATAACACACACCCCCACATCCACCACACACACATCCACCACCCCCCCACACACACACACCCACACATGCGCGCACCACACACACCACACATACACCACTCACACACCACATAACACACACACCCCCACATCCACCACACACACACCCACACACATCCACCACCCCCCCACACACACACACCCACACATGCGCGCACCACACACACCACATGCCGTCTGTGTAGAAACCTGCAAGCAGAATGTTGAGCCAGATTTTTTTTAAAGATTTTTTTCAGCCAAAGTAATTTATGATCTCTTGTCTGATGAATTTGTCTATTTGTTAAAATTTGGGCCTTTTTAAATGTCATGGCAGTATATGCATACGAAGCTTTTTATTCTCACTGAGATGATGTATTCTGGAATAAAATCGGTGGCTTTGTGTATAACGCACCATTTTAGAATGAGAGTGAATGCCGGGAGGAGCAGGAGCCCTGAGAAGTCCACCACCGTGCGGCTAAGAGGAGGCTGAGCTCACACCCGCTGTGTCTGCCTCAGGCCAGGCGGGGCTTGTCGGTTCCACCGTCCGTCTGCAGGCTTCTGACCACAGGGCTTGGTTCGGGATTGTGCCCAGTGCCGTGTGTGGATTCATCAGTTGCCCCATGAGAATGGAAGAGTAGCTGAGTGGTACCTCCTGGCGCGGTTCGTCACCGCACGCATGGTTAGGACTTGACCTTCTAGAGGGACGAGTTGGGAGGGTGTAAGGCACAGCCGCTGCGTGGATGCCACGTGCCTTGGGCAGGGTATTGGGGGATTAACATCTGCGTGAAACATGGTGCTACCCAGGTGAGGACGACAACCCTGGAGTTCCATTTGCAAACATCTCAGCGATGTTTCAGGAGCTGTGAGTGGGGACGGGCTCGACACCAGGAGTCGCTCAAGGTGGGTTTGTGAGCACCTAGTGGATCCCACCTTGGCCCTCAGTGACTAGCGATGGCTGAGGTTCGGCCGATGGCCTAGAGTTTGGCCACTGGGCTGGTTTCCGGCTGCGTGTTCCCTCTCTAAGCTCGTCCTCTCCTGCAAGTTCTGGAGCTTTCGCTCAAGCTGTGATCTGAGCGAAATTCTGACGGGTGAGCCGGGTCACTGGTTGCTCCTGGTGCTTGGCGTGGTCGGTCTGCGGGTGCGTGTTCTCCCTGAGGTGGGGATCAATGGCGAGCGAGTTTCAGACTCAGGTGACCCTGGTCGTGTGTCCAACCCTGTCAGGCATTCCTCCTGTTGTCACATCTGTGTTTGCCATGTCGGGTGATTGGGCATGGTATGTGATGTACTTATGGGGGCCTTTTTCTCTGAGGACGAGTCCTTGGGAGTTGCTATCCTGTGGGCCCCACTGTGCAATGACCCTGCCAGGAGGAAACCCACTCTCGTGTCCCCAGGAGGAAACTGAAGTCATGGTTTTACTGAAGAGTTTTGAGGGTGACAGTTCCCAGGCCTAGGGTCAGAGTTCGCAGTGTGTCCAGGACAGAGCCTTTGAAATGGTGATTTGTGGACTTAGCGTTAAATGATTTTGTCTGAAGTCTGACTCTGAAAGGTTATTCTTTCCGTCAAAATTTGAGCCTTTTGGCACAGTCAGAATGGAGGCTCACATCTCAGGAGTTTTTGACATTTTGATTTGGGGCTACTTAGAGACGTTTCTCTTCTGCCCCATTCCACCTTCTTTCTCTTGGCTGTGTGTGTGTGTGTGTGTGCGCGCACACGTTTGGGGACTTTAGTAACATGATGGGACGTCGCCTAGACCCATCACGATCCCCCAGAGTCAGGAAACGGACAGAGTTGCAGTCGGTGGTTCTCAGGAGGGCGCTCAGGTCGGCAGGTTAGCCAGCTAGCTGTCTCTGAAGTGTCCTTTTGGACAGTCGCGTGCTGCAGACCCTCCCACCTGCCCTGCACCAAAGATGTAGCTGCGCTGGGAAACGGCCTGTGGGATTCCCGTCCGTGGGCTCAGCTGCGGCTGGAATGAAGTCGTCGGTGCCGTGATTGGAGCAGAATCGGGGACCGTGCAGTGGGTCCCTGTGTTTGCTTTGTGAGTGGTGACCGGGAATCTATTGTAAGCTTATAAATCTTCAGGGCCGCAGACTGGGGTGGGTGTGGGTGGAGGAACATGTCAGGGGCGAGAGACTCTGCCACAAGGCCTTGGGTGGGAAGATGGGCCTCAAGGTGTCCCGGGAGCAGGTGACACGCACCACTCGGGCTCAGCCCCTGGCTTTTCACAGTGG